GACGGATAAACAAACAGACATACAGACGGATAAACAAACAGACATACGGACAGGGACAGAGACAGAGAAGGAGCAGAAAGAACCAAAGGAAACAGTTTACCGTGATGTGATCTTCGGACGGATGGATAGATACAGTGTAGATGGACAGATAGATAGACAAATAGATAAATAGACAGACAGACAGACAGACAGACAGACAGACAGACAGACAGACAGACAGACATACAGACGGATAAACAAACAGACATACAGACGGATAAACAAACAGACATACAGACGGATAAACAAACAGACATACGGACAGGGACAGAGACAGAGAAGGAGCAGAAAGAACCAAAGGAAACAGTTTACCGTGATGTGATCTTCGGACGGATGGATAGATACAGTGTAGATGGACAGATAGATAGACAAATAGATAAATAGACAGACAGACAGACAGACAGACAGACAGACAGACAGACAGACAGACAGATAGATAGATAGTTCACCTTATTTAGACGAACTTCACCTTGTTTTGACGAACTTTACCGTGTTATGGGAAAGTTCACCTTATTTAGACGAACTTCACCTTGTTTTAACGAACTTCACCTTGTTACTGGAAAGTTCACCTTATTAAGACGAACCTCACCTTATTATTAAAAATCTCATAGTAATAATAAATATCATTTGTATAGAGCATTACCCTGCTCGACAGCAAGCTCCATGCGCTTTACACTCTATTATTACCCCAGCGGACCATAGGACACTCAAAACATTCTCAGCTTCTCGGGAAGCATACAGTGCAGGTCGCTGATTAAGCGCTCAAACACTAACAAACTGACAAAATCGTTCACAGCCTATAGCTGGGTATTCATTCTCATCTTGGTGAAGTGAAGAAAATTCGGGTAAAGTGCCTTTCCGTGGGACACAACGTCGGGTCCTTGACGAGATTCGAACCCACAACCTTACGGTTGCGAGTCTGAGACCCCATCTTATTTAGACGAAGCTCACCTTGTTATGATGAACCTCACCTTGTTATGAAAAAACTCATCTTGGCTAGAGGAACCTAGATTTAGTCTTGTTTTGAAGAATATCACCTTATTTTGACAAACCTCACCATATTTGGATTGATAAACCTCACCTTGTTTTGACGCACAATATCCTCAATGCTTTGAGAGGCCCCCTCGCTCATCTTGAATGCTATAATGAGCGAAAAGACCACAGGACTACAAAATAAGTGGCTACGTTTGATCCGTTTAATGACTAGCGACTTATGAAAAGTCAGTAACTGTTGCGGTGTGTGCACGCTTTCTTGTGAACAAGAGAAAACAATCATAAAAGACTGTGTTTTCTGATGGCAGTGCTCATTGTGTTTTTCTTACTTTTGGTGATGGTACAGTGCGAAGTGTATTTTGGTGGGTTTTCCCCAAAAATATTGGAAAATTTTACTCCACTCTACGAGGGTTAGGGGTGGGATATAGATCTATAGTTGAGATTCTTTGGGTTGAATTGACCTCAAAATCTCTAACACACACACACACACACACACACACACACACACACACACACACACACACA